CAGTAATGGCAGCTTGTTTTTCTTCCAGTCCTTTCCCAGATTCATCTATAGTGAAGCTATTCTCCAACAGTGACCATAATCCGTCTCTGCTAAACAAACATGTGCTTGTAAATGAACACAAGTATCTAATTAAAAAAATAAGCAACCTCTGTGTTGTTGTTGCAGATGGCTGGAGTGACTTCAGCTCTGATTGTGTTGGTGACCATACTGAAACTTGGACCTCTGTTCCAGGAGCTGCCAAAGGTTCTGTTGCTCTACCGCTTGAATCTCTGTACAGTGGATTTGCAGTAAATGTTTATGATGCATGACTTTCTTTGTGTAAATATAATGAATTTGTTGATTTGCCTCAGTCACACTTCTGGGTACACATGTGGTTAATCATGTTGTGCTTGTTTCAGGCTGTCCTGGCAGTGATCGTCTTGGTGAATCTGAAGGGCATGTTCAAGCAGCACTCTGACATTGTTACACTGTGGAGACATAGCAAGATTGATCTGGTGAGATGATACATTATTACTTACTTTAAAAAAATATCCTGCAAAGTAACAACTGTGACACAATGAGCTGTCGTGTTGAATCTGGTATCGTGTCATTGTTCTTGTTTCCTCTTTGTCACACTAAAAAATGACTAACGTAATGCTGTATCCCCCAGGTGGTGTGGTTGGTCACTTGGGTGTCAACCCTGCTGCTTAATCTGGATCTGGGTCTCGCAGCATCGATCATCTTTGCTCTGCTTACTGTGATCTTCAGGACTCAGCTGTAAGACTCCACCGCACCTCATTGTGTGTGTGTGTGTGTGTGTGTATGTGTGTGTGTGTGTGTGTGTGTGTGAGGCAATATTAGTAAGTGCATGCACAATAATTTTGTGTTTTTTATTCCATTCAGACCAACATACTCTGTTCTGGGAAATGTTCCAGGTACAGAACTGTACGTGGATATTGAGACTCACAAAGAGGTGAAACAAAAAGATAATATATCATACATAAAAAGTTTTACGACCCTCACTGCAAAAAAAAAACTACTCATTTTTTTGCTATTTGGCAGGCGAGAGAGATTCCAGGAGTTACTATATTTCGCTCCTCTGCTACTGTGTATTTCGCCAATGCTGATCTCTACCTCGAGGCCCTGAAAGAAAAGGTTTATACCATTTACTCTACTAATGACATTGTCTATTGTAGGGCTGCGTCTAATGATTATTTTCAATAATGAGTAATCCGATGATTGTTTTTCCAGAAAAAAAACAAACAGAATATAGTAAAAACAACCCAATCGGTGGAGAAAATGTTCATATTGTACATTTCTGCAAACCAAGGATGCGTTACATTTGTATATTATGTTGTAGCGGATATGGTGAAACTTTGCGTTGTTATACAGCGCTGTGGTGAGGGTGTGATAAGGTTTAGGCACATAAATCACTTGATTATGATTAGGAAATGATCATGTTTTGGTTTAGTGTGCCACTAAAAAGACCCAGGCTCAGTCAGCTTATCTATTACGTCACTTTAGATACGTTGATATGATATGTATGAAACATGGAATGTATTTTCATAAAGTATAATGTGAACATTTTCTTCTGGCAACTGGACTGTAAAAAATTGCCATTGTAATTTCCCAGAGTGTGAGGTGGCACCTTCACATTGCTTGTTTTATCCGGTCATCGCACCAAACCCCAAAGACATTCTGTTTATAATCATATGTGTCAAAGAAAGTCAGGAATTCTTCACATTTGAGAGGCTGTAGCCAGAGAAATGTTTAGTGTTTTTCCATGAAAACTGACTGAAACAGTGAACTGATTATCAAAATACAATCGATTTATCAGTTGACTGGTTGTTTCAGTTTTAATCTCCTCTCAGTTTAATGTCTTAGAACTTACTGCTCTCTTCTTTGTCTGTTTACAGAGTGGGCTTGACATCAGTAAAATGATTATCTATAAGAGGAGGCAGGAGGCCAAACAGAGACGTAGAGAGAGGAGAGCAGAGAGACGGGCAAAGCGGCAGGCCAAGAGAGAGGTAACATAACTGCAGAAACATGGTATCTTTACAAAACATTTTAAGGACTGCAATTATTTTTTTCTTGGTGTTTTACTTATTGGTCACCTTAAAGGGAAGCTTAAGTATTTTTCAACATGGACCCTACTTACCATGTTTTGAGAAACAACCATTTCTTAAATAGGACCAGTATTGAGAGAGAGCGCTGCAGCCAGCAGCAGCAGAACAGGCTGCAGTGTAGCCACTGGGGGCAGGTGTGCACCGTCAGTTTACAATCATTAAAAGCACTTGTTTTTGCCACTGACAGGCTCAGATTGTTTTGTGTGTTTTCTGACAACATTACGGAAAAGACCCTACAGAGATATGAAACATTGTTCTGTACCTTATTCTTGTTTCAGTCTGTTTTGTGTCAAAGTCTCACTAAAGGAGAAGTCCTGCTGTTAAATGTTGCAGACTTTTTCACATTGTTTAACTCAGCTTAATATCCAGCCATGACACTGAAAAATCTGTTAGATAACACAAATTGGCACCAAGATCCTGTGACTGGTTTACATGGCTGCAGAGTGCCAGCTGTAACACTGCACAGAGCTACAGCAGGAGTAAACAGACGTTTGAATAATGTCTTTGACTCACCACTCTGCAGAGGCGGGCACAGAGGGCAGCTCAACAGCTGTCTGGAGCACCGGTGTTCTCTGTAGAGGAAGAGGCTGGCTGCTGGAGGGACACATGCGTGGACGGGGATGTTACAGACACAGAAGAGCAGGGCTGGGCCGAGAGGGAGAACGGGACAGTGTTTGTCATCCCAACCACTCCTCGAACACCAGACGGCCAGTCCAGATGGGAGTACCTGAAAGGAGGAGAGCCAGACTCCACCAGCTTAGGGTGGATGTCTGAGCTGCAGGACGGGGACACCACCACTCTGGGCTCCAGCAGTGAGGACACACTGAGTCGCGACCTGGAGCGGGTCTCCCTTGGGTCACTTGGCAAGTGGACATGGGACATTCACTCCATCATTATTGATCTCTCCACAGCTAACTTCATTGACACAGTGGCGATCAAGACATTGAAAAATGTAAGTACAAAAGAGGAAAATATGCTTTAAACGAAGGGTAAGACATGACATTTTCCCTCATGTTGAAGGATCAGAGGAGCACCCTTTTACTTGTGGGCGTTACATCCCTTTAATAAATAGTGAAATTGTGATTTGAGGAGCATGAGCAACATGTACAGATGGCTTTGGGAATTTTACAAGGAGAGCTTAGGTGTTGTGTTTTCATAAACAGTAAATTTTACAATGTTAATATATTGATTTATAGAATAATCTTAAGACAGTAATAAAGTTAAAAGCGGGTCTGCAATCTGCCAGCCCTGACATATAATTAAACTGTATAGGAAAATACACAATGAAGGAAAAAGCTCTGTCTTGTGGTCCTTGTTAGAAAAAGGAAAGGGTAAGATGACACATCTTCAATACAAAATGTATTGGTGTAATTTAGTCAAGGCACATGTTGTTGTCACTAAAATGGGAGTTAATTAGCTTTATGTTATAATGGATAGTTTTACTCTCTTGCAGTTAAAGGTCCAGTGTATAGGATTCAGGGGTTTACACACTGGCAGAAACAGAATATAATATTCCTTACTATGTTTTCATTAGTGTTTAATCACCTGAAGCACCTGAAGAGTTGTTGTGTTCTCGTTACCTCAGAATGAGCCATTTATAGCTACATAGGGTGGGTCCTCCTCGGGCCCCCAGGAACACTGTTCAGCCTTGCTTTTTTGATCCATAATAGTTTTATGCTTGTTAAACTTTCCCCAAGCCAGGAAAAGTGATGTAAAAATCTGTGACATCATCACAGTGTAAAGTCTAAAAGCCAAGCAGGAACTCTTGGGTGAGGTTAGCAGGAGTAGCATCTCATTATCATACATCTAAGGTCCTCTTTCATGGAGTCCGCCATGTTGTTTCTACAGAAGCCCAAAATGGACAAACCAAACACTGGCTTTAGCTAGGGCTATTCGTGTTTTCATGTCAGCCACTGTAGTTGCTCTACACACTCAGTTGGATGCACTGCTAGATGCTGCTAAATCCTACACACTTGAAGTTTAAATTAACCATGACGACTGACTGAGAGATTGACTGTAGGGCTGATTAGCGTTAGTAGCACCTGATGAGGAAGAGATGTGATTTTGTTTAAGGTTGGTGCAGTGTAACTTTTGATGAGGATAGATATTCTGTACTTACATTTTTGACAGATTTTCCAGGACTTCAGTGAGATTGATGTGGACATCTACATGGCAGGTTGTCAACGTAAGTGAACTCCTTCTCACCTCTTTTAGGCTGCACTGCGTGAAAAGGCTTCATCGTGGTAGTAATTTGCCTGTAAACTGTTCTTTCTTCAGCCTGTGTGGTGGAACAGTTAGAGCGTGGCGACTTCTTCTCTGAAAAGATCACAAAGAGACGTCTCTTTGCCTCCGTCCATGATGCTGTGCTTTACTGTCTGGACCACCGTGGAGCGTCATCGCTCCCCAGATACGAGCCATCAGCGGTGAGTGTGTGCAGCTGATGTTCAAGTGACACATCGGTTGCTTGGTTTAAACATCTCCAGCATTTGGATTAAACTGAAAACATTTAATCACGTCATTTTAACTAAATTACTCTCTAAAAACGGTTTGATTTCAGGACACATACATCTGCACAAAACTTTAAGAACTTCAACATAACTGGACATCCAACACTGAAGATTGAATAACTGTCTCAGCATCTACTGGGAGGAATATCAGAAGCTTTTATGAAACTGAATTTATAAATGAACAGATGCTAGATAATTGTTGAGTTCCATTTATATTTATACATCTTAATTTTAAAGTAAAAAGACTGAAGACACATGAGTTTAATTTAACTTTATTCAATGTGGGAGAATGATAGAGTGCATTTTGTAAAGAAAAAATAAATTAATTAATAAAATGAAACACCTTTTAAGAGGAGTCTGGTAGAAAATAATTAATTCAAGGAACATATACAAGACAACATGCATCACACTGACAGTGTGTGAGCCTTTTTGGTAATGGCAGCAATAACAAGGTAGGACATTGAAATGTTTACAGCAGCCATTTCAATTTTCAAGTGCAATTTCTGCTCATAGCAACAGCAAAACCTGTGAAGCTAATGCATGCAAAGGGTTTTTTAATTTGTCTCAACTCGACTTTATGGAGTTTCTAGTGCAACATTCCTAAAATGGGGAATTCTATGAGATTAAAAAATAACAGGATAACAAAATCCAAGCAATAATAAACAAAAGCATCTCTTTACAGTTGCATAAACCCACTGTGACCTCTTTCCCTGAATAAGTCTTGTCTCTACATACCGGCCACAGAGAACGTTGCCAAAGAAGTTGTGCACAGGACTGAGGAAGGCTAGGTAGATTTTTTTTTTACATATATAAATTTGGTTTATGAGCTACAAGTCTTGATGGATATCAGAAGTGTGTGTGTCTGGGTCCAGAGTCAGATCATCGTCATCATCATCCTCATCCTCCAGCTGCTGTGAAACCAGCTGCTGATAGCGAGCCTGCCGCTGGTAATCCGGATCAATGTTGATCCATTTATTTGCGACCCACTTAGTGCCGTGGGTGACCATACAGCCACCATGGAGAGCGTATTCATCCTGCTCGCCCACCCACCCTATTGAGAGAAAAAAATCATTTAATGTTAGTTAGCAGCATCCCTCATATCCTGTCTGTTTCACACTGATGTCAGGGGCCCCACTGTTGAAAAAATTTAAACCAGATCAGAATGATCCAGATTTAGAAATCCCATGTTTTGCTGTCCAGGATCAGCTAATCCATAATACTTTTGTGCCAGTTTTGAATCACCCTGATTCAGATACAGACTTTCCAAGATTACCAAATCCAGATAACTACTGCTCTAAATGGTAATACATATCACAATGTGGACTACAGCTATGTAAAGAACAACAGGTAGAACAGCGAGCATGGGATCACTTTAAAGGTCCTGTGTCTAGGATTTATTTGCATCAGGTAGCGAGGTTGCAGAACTGAAACTTCTCCTGTGTGCCAAGTGTGTAGGAGAGCCGATGCAATAACATGAATGGCCCAATCTGAGGCAGTGTTTGGTTTGTCCATTCTGGGCTACTGTAGAAACAACATGGCAGACACCTTGGAGGAGGACCCGCTCCACATGTAGATATAGACGGCTCATTCTAAGGTAATGAAATGCAACAATTCTTATTTTCAGTGATTATAAATGAATAAAAACATATAGTTTTGAGTATTATAAACCAGTTCTGCCAGTATGTCCCTAAAAATCCGTCACACTGGACCTTTAAGTGTTTTTATTCAACCACTTTTGGCTTGACTCTTGTCATTGTATCTAATATAAAGTGATAAATGAAGTTAAAATTGAATAATTAATAATAATTAATTTTACTTCATTGAAAGGCTTAATAGGTTGCCTAATGTCTACTTTATTTACTTTATCATTGCAACAGTTAAACATATCAAGTGCAAAATATAAATAAATGTATATATTTGACAAATTTCAAAGTTTTTGTATCATTTTGTTCCTGAAATTCACTTTGAATCCGGCCTTCTGCTGCCTTATTTATTTATTTATTTTTAAATCAAAGGTATCCCTATATTACTAAAAAGTTTTGACCAACACATACTGAAGGTTTGATGCAGATTAAAACCAAAACTGGATTATGTGATGTAATCTAATTTCAGAATCTTTTTATTCTTTTGAACAACCCGTTTTCAAGATTTGATCCAATCTGATCAGATTACTTTTGAACAAATGGGCTCAAACAACTTTGTTGATCCTTTGACTTTTAATCAAGCGCCTACATGAGGTTAATTTGTCCACTTCATTGGTTCATGGCCAAGGAACTGAAAAACGGATATTCACATCAACTGTACTTTGTGTTTAGTGCTAAATAGCAAATGTTAACATACTAAGATGCCAGCCTAAGCCATTTTAGCATCATTTTTAAACCCATATTGGTATGGTGACATTTAGCTCAAAGCATCACTGCGCCTAAGTAAAGCTTCACAAAGGTGCTAGCATGGATGTAGTCTTTAAGTCTTGTTTAGTTTTCATTGAAGGTTCTGTATTCAACATTCAGTGCCATTATATAGCAACAAACCACTATTTGCTATGTAAAGTTACAGTGGGGTAATGGCGTCCTGAGCAGAGAATGATGTCACGCCACCTCTGCGTGTTGTAATCAGAGCTTCTCTGTGATTTGTTGTGGTAAGCCGGTCCGGCCACACTTGCATGTTAGTGCCTGTGTATATCCCACTAGCTAGCTCCTTGCCATTCCAATATTATGATTTTGGGTTTTTTTTATATTTTGGGGGGCCTTTCAGCCTTTAATGTATAGGACAGACAAGCGTGAAGGGGGGAGAGAGAGGGAGTGACATGCAGCAAAGGGCCACAGGCTGGAGTCAAACCCGGGCCACCGCGGCAACAGCCTTGTACATGGGGCGCCTGCTCTACCACTAAGCCATCGGCGCCCCACATTCCAACATTATGTTAACAAAGTGTGTTTTGATGTTTTTAATTGGTCTCCTACCTCTACCGTCAGAAAGGTAGTTGTACCAGAAAACAGCTGTCCCTTTGGTAGGCTTCACCCTCAGATTACTCTTGTCACAGTGCCTTCTTGTGTCCAAAAGATCGACATCATTCTGTATGAGAGACTAAAACACACACTCAGACTCAGTTTCGCAGTTTGCTCAACATCAGGGCCATGCACTCACTGACAAACATGTGAGTTAACACAGACATGAAAGACATGCACAGTATGTACACAATACTATTACAGGGCTCTCCCTACACATCTCCAGACCCACACACAATTACGCACCACTTCATCATAGGTCCTGTTGTCTGCCACAGGGAATGCGGTCTCCCCGCCCCCCTCAACAGAGTTCAGGTAGAAGAGAACTGTGATGTACCTAGGTGTGCAACACAAATTTAAATTGACACACACATGTATGGTGCAAACACACACACACACATACAAACACTTTGCAAACTTACAGAAACGTAATGCATTCATTTCAGGAAAAAAAAGGATTTGCCTTGTTTTTCCTGAATTAACAAGATTTTTATCATTAATCTGGAAAAACGGAGCAGATTTATTTCTCTCAAGTGAATGCATTACGCTTCCATAGAAACGAAGCGGGCACACACATTTTTCCAAGTTAACAATGACTAACATGCCAGCTGTCACAATGGAGTTTAGTAATCACACCACACAGATGAATTCAGGTCTGAACATTCAAAGATATTATTGTTGAGAAATGCTGCTTCGGTCAACACTGTGCACCTCGGCAATCTCACCTGCAAGACGTCTCAAAAGGAGTGGAGGTGTTGGCCGCGAGGCGCGTGTGTGTGCAGGCTGTTTCAGGATACACGGGGCCGCTGTCGTGGTGGGCGTGGTAGTGTCCTCCCTCCTCATAGCGAACCACCTGGAGCGGCTCACTCAGGTCCACTAATGAGGGCGGGAGCCGAGTAAGACGAATCACTCTTTGTTAGAGAAAGGTAAAGAAAAAGTTGGAAAGTCTGGTAAAAATATGTAAAAAATATATATATTACAGTTATTATACAGCAATCAGAGAGCATGCTTTGACTTCCTTACCTTGCCTTGATGTCTTGGAGGACCTGGTGTGCTCCTTTGCCCTGATACAGCCAGGTGTGTCTGCTGTTCCTCACAAGCTGACTCCTCTTCACCCCTCGCTGCAGCAGGAAGCGCTGGAAGGCATCACTGCTCAGGAGCCTGAACTCCTCTAGACTCAGTAAACCTGCCCCCAAATACAAGAATGCACATCTTATTCTGATGCCTAGTGTATGTCTTCATTTCTTGCATTACTGGCACTTTCCCTCATTATAGTAACCATAGAGACTGAACATAGAGCCCAGTTTTCACCACAGTGTAGGAAAATATAAATTCTATTACTCTTTGATATAATGTGTAGATATACTTTAGGTTTCTGCCACCCATTCACCCTCTCCACCCACTGATAAGTTGCTACCAAAGTGTCAACGTTGCTTCGGTAATGTAACCATGGCATAGCCCTTGATTCACAGAGAATAGGCGTAGCTGTACCTGCTGCTATTTCTGATCATTTTAAGGTTTGGTTGCCTAAAAAAGTTGTTCAGCGTTTGTTTGCAGTTAAAGAAACTCTAAGGAGTTGTGTATTCCATTTTTCCAGTAAGTTACATTTTGCTTGAATGGATTTAAGCCTTTCACTTGCAGTAGCAAATTAGCATTAGCATTAGTATTATCACAGTGAATCATAGCTGTAAATGCACCGTGCTAACCAAGCTAGCAGCTAGCGTTACGGTTATCTCCACCCTGTTGTCCAAATATGGTCATTTCTGGCTCCATAAAACCAAGATGAAATGGCCTAAAATGCCAAACTCGACGAGCAGGTATAGCTTTGGCTGGAGCAGCTACGTGACCTGCCCACCAGCTACATGACTCGTCGGCCATACCTACATGATCACATGCTCATTTGTGAACTGTGTCCATATGATGTATATCATTTATGCCTTTAAAAATTACTCTCATGTCCATACTAGACCTCTTAAGAATGGCCACAAGCCAAAAAGAATGGGAACCACATTATGTATGCTTTGAACAATCTTTTTGTTACACTAAAAAGTATATTACCATTCTGAACCAAATTAGATTCATTGTTCCCACCGAAAATTGATGCTAAAACCCGCCCTCCTCCTGCCGTTGTAAAACTAGCTCAAAGGTAGTGTTCAAGATTATCTCACAAAATAGATATATAGTTTTAGAAATACAAATTTACAGACAAATATGTATTTCTGTAAAAAGTGCAAAGGTGATTTCTTACCATTACCATCCTTATCAGCTTTGAGCCCGGCATAGATTTCTCTCAGATTCTCCGGTGTGAGCCAGATGCCGTCCCTTACTCGAGAATGAGTCAGTATCTGTTGGAGGCACGATGGTTAAAGACAGGCTGAGTTAACTAACTCTGAACCACAACACTACTGCATGTCATATGCTACAGTTCAAGCTCACAATCCACAAACTGACATACACCTCATGGAGCTGCAACTGTCCATCCTGGTTGATATCAAGAAGGTTGAAGATCTCCTCTGGGCTGAGGTTGAGCTCCTTGGCCAGTTCTTCCTGGCCGTCTTGCACCATTAGCTGGCTCTCCATTAGACCCTTCAGCTGTGCAAGCTGCATCACAATACGACACTCATCCTCTGACAAAAACCCGGGGATCTCTGCAGGAAAAAAACAGAGCAAGACAGAAAACAATTTCTTGGGTCAACAGGATTGTTGCATTTTCTCTGCTGCATGCTTCACATTTTCACATCGGTTGCCAGTTTTGCAAACTAATGCATAGCTGAACCATAAATCACAACATTCAACATATGTACATACATTTATACTTTGAACAGAGATCTGACTGTAACTACAGTCTGAGATCTTGTCTGCTCCTTGTGCACAGACTGAGCTGGGAAAGAAAGCTTTTACGTGCTCTGCTCCTCTCACTTGGAATAACCTTCAAAAAAGATTTGAAACTATGTGAATTGGTCTCTGCCTGACTTTAAAGCTCTCATAAGTACAAGGATGAATGACTCGGTTGGGTCTGGTCATTGTGCGTAGGTGATCTAATATCTCTACATATAGTATAATATCTATAGCCTACTGTGTGTCTTTTATGATTTTATTGTAGTTGTTATTTGGCTGTAACTTTTTCTTATGCTGCTGTCTTGGCCAGGTCTCACTTATAAAAGATATCGTTGACCTCAGCGGGACTTACCTGGTCAAAAATGGGTTGAATAAACTTTTCACGTTTTTACAATATAAGCTATCACGTTTTAACCTGAAAATATATTGTTACAATGTGAAAAACTTCTTGTTAGAACAATAAACTTTTCACGTTAAAACATAATACTGATCAATTCTTTTTTTTTTCCTGATGTGGCAGCAATACACTTCTGTAAAACACCAATAAAGAGAACAATGAAAAAAATATTGCATATGCCTTACATTTTTCCACATAAAAATGTTTGTACTTTGCATTTTTTTTATGAAATTGAAAATTAGGCATTAGTATTACATATTTTGTTTAGAAATGCAAACTTTTTGGGGGTAAAAAACAAAACAAAATAAAATGAAAACTCTCCCACTACTTTTAAGCTGTTTCTGGACCAATTTTTACCCCTAGAGACAGTAATGCCAAGCAAGTAAATAAAAAATGGATCAAACAAACAAATAAATAAACAAACAAACATAACTCTGGTAATATTTTTAAGGCCTCTGTTTGCTGTTATTTTCTTGCTTGGAACTTAAAGAGGTGATCAACAATGGTCCTGAACAATTTCTTTCCATGAGCCTTCAAGGATATAGGCACACCGTAATAATAAACATATTATGATATTACTTACAACTTTGCCACTGTTTATGTTTACTTTTTTGTTTGTTTGTCTTGTTGTGATGTGTTTTCCCCCATTTGTTTACTCAGGAGTATGGGGGTGGAGGGAAGCGTTGGGGGATATGATGATACTCAGTGTACTGTTGTGTATGTTCATCCATTGATGATGCTGATTATTGAACACTCTTAGGTGATGAAAAAGAACATTTGTGCCATCTTCACTCTAGCACATCTAATGACTATAGATTGTGTGTTTTTGCATTATTAGTTGAGTTGGGAACAGATGTATTTGTGCTCTTTAGCCAGTCAGCTATGAGCCCTTAATTGTGAGTGGTTGCCTCAGGACTTGTTGACCTATTTCATGAAGCCTTGATCGACCTGAGCATGCACATATGTATAAACTAGTTTATGTGTTTGAGGAGGTGGTAGTGATGAAGATGAAAATAAGGAGGAGAAAGTGTGTGGTGAGTGCATGCTCTGCCTACATCAGAAGAAGAAGAAGAAGAAGCCTTTTTGGCCACTAGAGGCTCATGTGGGTGTGCTGCAAATTTGTTTTGACACATGGGTGTTTTTGGCTCTTACCAAACAGCAGAGGTTTCATACTCAGAGTCCGCATTTCATGCACTTTGTTTGGCACCAGTGACACCTTCTGGACGTGTCCCACCTGAGAGATAAATCAGACAAGTGATGTGGTGGTGCTTAATGTGTGTATGTGAGAGAAAGAGAGAGAGAGAGAAAGACGGAGGGAGTAAAAGAAAGAGTGGGAGTGATGCATGATCACATTACTCACCCTTATCCCCTCGACTCTTGTTAAGGAAACATCACGCAGGAACTCGGGCTTTGATGGCGGACGCCGCGACTCAGGGCGCTGGTGGTCACTGCGCGGAGTATCATGACTCCGGCTGGCATCTTCCTGCCCGCTGCTGTAGTGCACGTAAAACAACAGTGCTATAACATTAATGATGTACACGTGAAAAAACACCATCACCACCACGAAGTAAGAGCGGGAGCAGACGCTGCTCTTGTGGCAGGGGAGGCGCTCGCACGGCGGCCGGAGCGGCAAGGTCGCGCTCCCGGACGGAGTCGTGTCCTCGGCAGCATCTTCGGGCTCCTTGTTGTCACTCATTTTCCTGAGATTCAAGGAGGAGTTGATACCTCCTCAGCATTAAAGTCCATCTGAATAAACAAACGATATGATCAGCGTTTGTTGGTTTCTTAGAAGTAGCAGCTGCGCTGACTGACAGATGTCTAGTTTAATTAGAAAAGAAAGCCAGTTTCTTCGCTGCAGAGATGAAGTCCTTGTGCAGGGTTCATGATGAAACTGTGCTCGCTTAAGATGAAAAGTCAACTACCAGTACCTCTGTGTGTCGTTATCTTTTCGCCCACAGACAGCAGCGCTGCAGGCTCGGACAGTCTTGTTTACACTGCAGCAGTCCCAGTCAGCAGCGGCAGCAAAGCGCACTGCGCATCCCAAAGCACGGCGGAACTCATCTCAGAAACCCGGACCATAAACAGCTCCAGCATCAGCTGAGTGCACTGATCACCATCCGAAATAAAAGAAACATCATCTGTGAACATAACAAAACACAACAGTCCTATTAACACGTCATTGCCCGTGCTCTCCCGTACACAGCAACAGTCTGCCTGCCGTACAATGCTGACCTCTGGTGACCTAAACTCATAACACACTCCTGTCTACATACCAGAGTGCAGTGTGTGTGTGTGCATCTCTATCTCCCTCTCTTAGCAGTGAGCTCTTGTATGTTGTAAAGGTCATGTTACTCACCGTCTTCTTTCAGAGTGCAAATAAAGGTTAGATAAATGAAAGAGTGGCTGTCATATAAAATAATGACTTTAATTGTACAGCTAGCTATGTGATGGTGTTCACATCCATATTTAGCAGACTCTGACTTGTAAACCTTTGAACACAAAATTCCAAACAGAAACATACAAAGCAACCAGTGAGGTTTTATGGCCTCAAAGTAAACTGTTTTATTTCACTGGCCAAGTCAGTCCTTTTGTTGGAGCCATGACATATAGGCTAGTGACAAACTGTCAAAAAGGCCTTTAGTTTTTGAGATACCCCTACCGGAGGTAGAACAAAACCTAACAATGTTTTTCCTCATCTCTGAGGTCTCCCATATATGAAATGGATTCTTAGGTTTAAATATTTTACTGCAAACATTGTTAAATTGATACATATTGTTATACACCCCAAACCTAAAAAAGAACCAAAATATAACCTGGCTGTATAGGAGTTAAGACATATAAACTCATGTAGATTAAGAACACAAGCTCTGACAGCTTTGAAACTTCACATAATTGTGGTCAGGAAGTTGCTTCACCTACTAGAAAAACCTGGATGTGAATATCTTGATGTGTGTAACATATAGAGACCCATGAACACTTGCCTAAAATAAGCAGAAATGCAAAAAAAGAATATCTATGCAGAATGTTCTCATTTACTTTGTAGTTGCTTGGGCAGGGATTGTCATAAAAACACATATGATGGCTTGTTGGAAAGGTGGGGCTGTGCTGAATCCAGCAGTACCAAATATGTGAATATAACATGCATAGTCAGTGTGTTATATCACTAAATGTATGAAGTGTCCCAAATGAAGGAAAGTGAAACATTGACATAATCAAGTCTCCAAAGCCCATTATCAATGGTGAGAAGAATGTTGACCAATTCAGTGTTACTGCTGTAGTATCTGACGTGCCACATGTTATGTTATGTTCCGGTTGCCATCTTTGTTGGGCTCAACCATACTGTTGTCAAATATAAGGTGTTTGAATTTACCATTAAATTATTAATCTTTTAGGTGGAGATTAAAGTTACTTTTAGTAGCTAACGGCAGAACCGTTAGGGGGCCAAGTCAGTCATTAAAGCCACCATCGCTAATACACTACAGGTACAGTGCATGTACGTTACCGCTCACTGTACCTGATATTCTCGTTCACCATAAATCTAAGATGGCCTTAGCTGCCACACTGTAAAGGCTGATAGTTTTCAAAGTGGTAAGTAAAAGTACCGTGTTTTTAACGTTAACAGAAAATTGAGACAATGTGGGGCGGTGACTGGATATTAACTTACCTGTACTTAGCAGTTTGGGACACTAAACATATCCTTGTGTCAAAATCCACTGGACAATACAAGACATTTTGTTCAGTCAGCTCAAGATGTTATTTAGGTTATGTTTAAAAGAAGAGACACTTGTACATTAAATTGTTATAAAGTTCACATTTTTAATTCAGGATAAATTGATTTATAGAGTTATAATGATTTATAGGGAAGAAAAATTGAACTTGAGGACATAAATTGTAAGAACATTTTAATATTTTAAATGTTTCTTTTACTTTTTTTTTTTTGAGCGCTGTATGTTCAATATGCGTTAAATCAATTAGGGGCCATGCTGCAGCTCTGATAGGTCATGTGTTGTATATTGACTGTGTGTTCACTGTGCTGTGAATTATATTGATTGCCTATATTTGATTTGATAACTTACTTTTGTATCTATTTGGTCTAAATCACATAATGATCCATAGTGTGAGCCCCTAAAGGCGTGAAAACATTCAGCATGCAACAATAATTGAATCAGTTATTAAAAAATGAAAAGACAGACTTAAAAAAAGATGCAACAGACTACCTTTTATTGACTTTTGGTTTTCACAGCATGCTTAACATGCTAAAGTGAACAAGAGATAAGAGGATTATATTGTATGGCTCCTTGCCACTGTACAACCTTGTAGTCTTTCTCATTCCTCTGTGTGCTTTGTCTGAAATGACAGGACAATAACATGTTACATGTTTGGCCAGATAATGGAAATTTAAAACAAACTGCAGAGTTAAATCCAAATTTAAAAATGAGCAATTCTACAAACTTGAGTAATCTTAGATAGCTATGTTTTTACCTTGACAATTTTTTACCCTTTGGCTTCAGCTTTTTGATCTGAGACTCAGCATGACGTTGTTGAAATAATGGAGCAAAGTAGGTTTTTTTGTGTGGGATTACATTATAAAGTACATCTAGATAATCCAGAGTTTTAGATAAATCCATACAGCTAAGACACTGCCTTAATTGTGTAAAAAGTTTTGTCAATTTTCTGTATACTTGAAAAGTATACAACCTAACATTTGAACTTTCTGCTTGTAATGTGTGTGTATAATTAACTCTATAAACCGTTTAAATTAAGAGTGAAGTTAAACAGACAGAATAATGACACAACAAAGGCACTCAGTTGCTTGAAGATTTATTTATTGTTACAAATGCAACACATTATACAAAAAGATCATATTGTATGATTTCTTGTACTGTGTCTTGTCAAAACTGATGCTCATTCTTCGGCATCCTTTCCCTTTGAATCAATACAAAAGAGACAGGAAGAAGTTAGTGATTAAAAACGTTGTATTGATGTAAAAATACAGAAATTCCTAATATGAATGTCATTATAATTTACTAATGACTCTGAGAAATAAAAAGGAACATACCCTGACGATTTCACGGCTTTTAGCCCTCAGCTTGTNAATATGTATCAATTTAACAATATTTGCAGTAAAATATTTAAACCTAAGAATCCATTTCATATATGGTAGACCTTAGAGATGAGGGAAAACATTGTTAGGTTTTGTTCTACCTCCGGTATGGGGTATCTCAAATTTTTGGGGGCATTGTCACTAGCCTAATATTTTTTTGTTTATTTTATCCTTATCTAAACAAGGTAAATACAAATATACACATGCAGTTATGAAACTGAACACAGGGTGGCACATTCATGTGTGAAGTGCATATAGGTAAGCTCTGAGTAATGGAAATCAGGCAAGTGGATCTGGGAGCAAACAGGTTTTGACTGTGTTGTGGAAGCGTGTCAAAAAGTATGAAGTATTTGCATGTAAAACTGAATTTGCTGAATGAAATAATGATTACATATGGACAATGCTGTCCTTCCTCTGTATTATGGTGACCATGTGTATAGCCTGTTGTATTGAGAGTAAATGGATTGCCAAATCCAAATAAATTACGCACACTGGTCTTTGGTTTATTCTTGGCCCAGAACACAAGTCTGGAACAAGTTCACCTGCTCACCCCTCAGTGGCTTATTTAGACATTTTGTTTGGTTTTGTTAAAAGTCACTACACTCTTGAACTCAATGTCACTGAAAAGGGAGAAAAAATGGTTGCAGTATACGGACCAGGCAGAGAGTCATTAAAGGAAATACCAGGAATTTGTTGATAGTTGGTGATATTGATAAGAGAAGACCTCAGACAGTCATTGACTGCAAAGGATTTACAACCAGATATATAATTTATGCATCTCATCCCGGGCCATTTGTGTTTACTCAAATTACTACTAAAATTACTATTTTCTTAATATATCCAGCCATATTTAGGTTTGCAGATGAATGGAATTTCATATGTAACACTCCCAACACAATAGTGGTGAGTAGATAACTCACAGAATTAACTGTCTGCAATTTTTATGGGATTATTTCTTATTGAAGAAATAGTCTTTATGAAATGGTCCACCTCCCTATGGTGGAGGCAGAAATGTCAGAGAAAGATTTTTTGCCTGACATAGGCTTGCTAACATTTTACATCTTTTAAATATTATTACTTTAAATTCTATTTCGATAAATGTCTAACAAAATAGTACAACATATACAAAGTAGCCTACTGTGAGCAAAATAGACCTACATATATCTAAATAAAATAGAAATCTAAACTAAAAAACAGTATACTGTATTTAACAAAAGATATCGTATGTTTTCCATAGTTTTATTATTTATTTATTACCAATTATACATTTTTTAGCCAAAACTAGGCAATTTCAATATCAATTTGGGATTTTCCTAAAATTTATAACAATAACTGTGACACATCTTAATGATGAACAATCAGAGATAAAAAAAAAAAAAGAAAGAAAAAAGACCTACATAGACCTAAATAGTTTTCAGGCTTACCGCAGCAAAGCTTTTATTTTTTTGATGAGACCTCATACCGGACAAGCCAGATGTCACTTCCGGTTGCCATCTTTGTTGGGCTCAAACCATACGGTCTATGGCACAAACTTGAGAAGCAGGTGAAGAAGTCTCCTTACTTGTGCCATTAACTAAATTTTTGTCCAAGATGAAGAGACGAGTTTTTAAACCATCCAGTATTGTCTTCAAAACACTTATGTGCACATACTGAAAAAAATATGGACGTAGCCACCGTGACGCCACCCATTGGTTTGTGGACAGCTGTTTTGAAGCGACGAGTATGGCATTTTGGCTGTCGCCATCTTGGATTTCTGGAGCCAGACATGCAAGTTGTTGGACGAGAGGGTGGAGCTGTGGAGGAGCGAGGGTGGGCCACAGTGATAAGTGTTGTCAAATATATGGTGTTTGAATTTACCGTTAAATTATTAGTCTTTTAGGTGGAGATTAAAGTTACTTTTAGTAGCTAACGGCAGAACCGTTAGGGGGCCAAGTCAGTCATTAAAGCCAACATCGCTAATACACTACAGGTACAGTGCATGTACGTTACCGCTCACTGTACCTGGTATTCTCGTTCACCATAAATCTAAGATGGCCTTAGCTGCCACACTGTAAAGGCTGATAGTTTTCAAAGTGGTAAGTAAAAGTACCGTGTTTTTAACGTTAACAGAAAATTGAGACAATGTGGGGCGGTGACTGGATATTAACTTACCTGTACTTAGCAGTTTGGGACACTAAACATATCCTTGTGTCAAAATCCACTGGACAATACAAGACATTTTGTTCAGTCAGCTCAAGATGTTATTTAGGTTATGTTTAAAAGAAGAGACACTTGTACATTAAATTGTTATAAAGTTCACATTTTTAATTCAGGATAAATTGATTTATAGAGTTATAATGATTTATAGGGAAGAAAAATTGAACTTGAGGACATAAATTGTAAGAACATTTTAATATTTTAAATGTTTCTTTTACTTTTTTTTTTTTGAGCGCTGTATGTTCAATATGCGTTAAATCAATTAGGGGCCATGCTGCAGCTCTGATAGGTCATGTGTTGTATATTGACTGTGTGTTCACTGTGCTGTGAATTATATTGATTGCCTATATTTGATTTGATAACTTACTTTTGTATCTATTTGGTCTAAATCACATAATGATCCATAGTGTGAGCCCCTAAAGGCGTGAAAACATTCAGCATGCAACAATAATTGAATCAGTTATTAAAAAATGAAAAGACAGACTTAAAAAAAGATGCAACAGACTACCTTTTATTGACTTTTGGTTTTCACAGCATGCTTAACATGCTAAAGTGAACAAGAGATAAGAGGATTATATTGTATGGCTCCTTGCCACTGTACAACCTTGTAGTCTTTCTCATTCCTCTGTGTGCTTTGTCTGAAATGACAGGACAATAACATGTTACATGTTTGGCCAGATAATGGAAATTTAAAACAAACTGCAGAGTTAAATCCAAATTTAAAAATGAGCAATTCTACAAACTTGAGTAATCTTAGATAGCTATGTTTTTACCTTGACAATTTTTTACCCTTTGGCTTCAGCTTTTTGATCTGAGACTCAGCATGACGTTGTTGAAATAATGGAGCAAAGTAGGTTTTTTTGTGTGGGATTACATTATAAAGTACATCTAGATAATCCAGAGTTTTAGATAAATCCATACAGCTAAGACACTGCCTTAATTGTGTAAAAAGTTTTGTCAATTTTCTGTATACTTGAAAAGTATACAACCTAACATTTGAACTTTCTGCTTGTAATGTGTGTGTATAATTAACTCTATAAACCATTTAAATTAAGAGTGAAGTTAAACAGACAGAATAATGACACAACAAAGGCACTCAGTTGCTTGAAGATTTATTTATTGTTACAAATGCAACACATTATACAAAAAGATCATATTGTATGATTTCTTGTACTGTGTCTTGTCAAAACTGATGCTCATTCTTCGGCATCCTTTCCCTTTGAATCAATACAAAAGAGACAGGAAGAAGTTAGTGATTAAAAACGTTGTATTGATGTAAAAATACAGAAATTCCTAATATGAATGTCATTATAATTTACTAATGACTCTGAGAAATAAAAAGGAACATACCCTGACGATTTCACGGCTTTTAGCCCTCAGCTTGTTGACCTGAGATTCAGCGATGTCAGCACGCTCCTGAGCTTCCTCCATCTCATGCTGCACCCTCCTGCACCTGGACAGGTGAGTGTTGGCCTGCTCCTCCTGTATAGTAAGCCACAGTGAAGTCAATTACTGTTGACTGAGTGACATGTTCTTAATGTGTGCCGTTATGAGTAATTAGGTGCACTCACCGCCTCCTCAGCCTGCCTCTTGTAGGATTTCACTTTCAGCTGCAGCTTGTCCACCAGATCCTGAAGTCTGGCGATGTTCTTCTTGTCCTCCTCAAACTGTTGTAAATCAGGAATGATAGAACACTGTAATACAGGCTAAATACTAGTCTTTATAACCATAGAGAACTATGACCAGAAGCATTTGCTGCAGTTAAAGTTTTATTATTATTAAGATATCAATTTACCTGATAGGTGAGCTCCTTTACTTTCCTCTCATATTTTCGCACTCCCTTGATAGCTTCAGCACCCCGCCTCTGCTCAGCATCAACTTCAGCTTCCAATTCCCTAACCTTGGAGGATGAATCAGATTGCAGTGATTTTATAAGTAAAACGTTGTCATGGCTTACAGTAATTATGAATAGGTTGGCCCTCATGGCACTTACCCTAGCCTCCAGTTTCTGGAGCTGCTTCTTGCCGCCCTTCATGGCCAGATTCTCAGCTTCATCAAGGCGGTGCTGCAGGTCCTTCACCGTCACCTCCAGGTTCTTCTTCATCCTCTCCAAATGAGCGCTGGTGTCCTGCTCCTTCTTCAGCTCCTCTGCCATCATGGCCGCCTGAAATGTTGGTGAATTTTATTGATTGTAAGTCCACTGCAGTCTTATGTCTTAACTGCTATAATACTAGATACAGTGGAGAAACACGCAATATTATGCACTGATATATTATGCCGTATACTTTGGTTTTAGTGACATATAAATGCATAAGGATGACTCACATCAGTGATGGCCTTCTTGGCCTTCTCTTCAGCATTTCTTGCTTCCTGCACAGAATCTTCCACTTCACCTTGGATCTGAATGAGATCAGCCTCCAGCTTCTTCTTGGTGTTGATGAGGCTGGTATTCTAAACAAATAATAGCTTGGATTGGATTACATTCTTACTTTCCAGTTGTCAGATATTTTTACATGTTATTATTTGAATCTTTATTCACCTGAGAGTGCAGCAGTCCCACACGCTCACTGGCATCAATCAGCTCCTGTTCAGCCACTTTGCGGCTTCTCTCCGTCTGCTCCAGTGCAGCTCTCAGCTCCTCAATCTCAGCCAGCATCAGGTTGTTCCTGCGCTCCACCATGGCAACCTGTTCCCTCATTTCCTCCTGACCTCTTATGGCTTCATCAAGGTGCAGTTGTGCATCCTAAATTAATAATAAAAAATGTTTGCAATACAGTCTGAATAAAGAAAACGTTAC